GTTTTTTATAATTTTATTTCGATTTCATTCTTTTTTTTTGCATTTATTATTAGTGGAAATTTGGTTACGGCAATCGATGTAGATTTTTATGGTTTGCGAGATTGCAACGATCACTTTTCATTTTGAAGAATCGAAGAACAAAAATCATTTGCTAAATCAATTAATATTTTATAAATATTATTATTATCACGATCCTAATCATGATGAATTGACAATATCACATGATTTTCAAAACTTTTTTGGGTGGCGATTTTACCCCGGTCACCAATTCCGGGTAGAATCATATGAATAATGCAGGCCAAATTATCATGCACTTTCAAAAAACAGTAGCTCCGTATTTAGCTAACTTTTTATATATGAGTGCCGCCGAGGGAAAATGTCCCTTCGGACTTTCAATTATATTTTGTACCTGACATAATTTATCTAATTTATTAAGGATCGTGTCCGATACAAAATATAATTGAAAGTACAGATAGTCATTTTCTCTTGGCAGCACTCATATGCCAACTACATTCGTACTTGTAATAAAATATTTCTAGTAAATTTCGAATATTTAGGTTAAGGACAAGATCTCACCATTTGGTAAGAGTTCGAAAATATTATTTTATAAAAAAAATTTCTATAATATGTAAAAGATGGTTTTTATAGCACGTCTGAAATGTGTGCCAGGTTTGTGGCATAGCAAAAATCTTTAAAGTTCGTTAATGTTAGGGTTGGCGTGGTTAGCGTTTATAATAAGATTAGAGGTTAGGTAATTATATAGTAAAATCGCTCAAGAAAAACTTTTTGTTAGAGCAATAAAGCTGGTTTCTTATACAGATTTTCAAGAAACAAGCGATTTTTGACAAAATGAATGTTTGTTTTGAATTTTCCTGATCATGTTATGTTACACCTGATCTTGAAATCTGATTCGTAGTTTAGACAATATGCGCCACAGTTGCGCCACAAACCTGGTACACATTTCAGACATGTGTTTTTATACTTGATCTTGAAATTTGATTGGTCAACGGAAATTTTTTTCAAGCCTAATCCCTAGGTTCAAATAATTCGCATAATTTACAATTTATCACACATATAATTTGGTAATTGCTGGAACATAATTCTGGACACTAACCCCAGTATCACCACCAAAAAGTTACTATCACGTGATATTTTTGTGGCACAAGCCAATCAAATTTCAAGATCAGGTGTAAAGTAGCACGCTCAGAAAAATTCAAAACAAACGGTCATTTTGACAAAAATTGCTTATAACTCAAAAATCTTTATATAAAATCACCTTTGGTGCATTAATAAAAAGTTTTCCTTGGATGATTTTACTATATGTTATACTAATCTTTAACTTTATCATAAGCACTAACCTCAACTTAAACGAACTTAACAATTTTTTGGTATATCACAAATACTATCACATGATAGTAACTTTTTGGTGGCGATATTAGGGAAGTGACCAAAATGCAACACCAATGCAAAGAACCGCTAGTAGTACTAAATAACGCTAATAGCACTAAGTAGTACCAGTAGTCTTCTTAGATTCAGTGGTTCAAACAAAAGTGTAATTTATAAAAATAGTAGCAAGGATCGAAAGTTTAAAAAACAGAACTTGAAGTTCTAATAAATAAAGAGTAGTCGTGTCTTCATACACGAACAACTCAAATACTTTATTGAATCAATCATACAAATAACTATTCCTTAACAAGTAATCATATCTTCATACACAGATAACTCAAATAAAATAGTAGATCGGTTATAGTGTCTTCATATACAGATAATTCGAATAAACTTTAATCCTGTTATAGTGTCTCCATATACAAATAATTCACAAGAATAACTTGAGTATAATAATAAACTTGTTATATGACTACTTGTATCTTCATATACATTTAGCCATTTGCCTCTTTCGTAATTGCTAATCACTATAATTCTCTTAAAGCGTAACTGCAATAAAACCTTATAATTTACTTAGCATAAATCGGCATTAGTTATTAATTCATTAAGATATCTGCACTATAGTAAACCGTTATACCGAATTTATAAGAGGTAGTTTCAGGTATAACAACACATTATCGTTATCTATTCAAAATTCATAAAATTCTTATGATAATTAATTAAAAAAATAATAACTGCATTATTTCAAAATATGCACTTCAAAGTCTAAAATTCATATCAAAAGTTTATTCAATAGTTAAACTACATATTAAATATTTTATTTTTTATTTATTTTTTTTTAATATTAAGGTGATCACTTGGGGGTCTGACATGGTTTATTAACTTCACAGGTTAATTATCAGGATACCAAATAAGCATCCCTTGACTTTGTTACATTAACAAGAGTACAATTGGTCATATGTACAACTTTAGTTATTGCCTAATTAAAAGTTCACTATATCTATTTCTATCTATAGTTACCCACCAATTGCTATATCTAAGATCCGCTTGTGGATTTCCTATTTAAACCCTCTGATTGACTTAGCACTATCAGATGTTTTCTTCAGAAAAATTCCTGTTACTAAGGCCCCTTAGGACTAGTTTATTCTCGTAGTAAATTTGCTAGAGCTTTCTATATTCACAATTTGGCTAATTTAGTTTTCAGTAATTTACGCTGAGTCTGAGAACAAGTACTTGTAAGCCAAGGCCACTACTATTACTGCTACTCTTGCAAAGTTTATTTAAACCCCAGCACACACTTTACAAACTATCACTAATAACTCCAACTATTTCAAACTACTAATTCAGATGGCTCAAAAGGGTTGTGACCTGCTCCTGGTCTTCACAGTTGAATACTTTTTATTTAATACTCTTCTGGTAGCCTAGTTGATAGAATACCTTGCCAAATACTTTAGTTCTGTTCAGTTTTTGCCAGTTCTTCTGATGATAATCCTTTACATAGTGCTGTCAAAGGTCTGTGCAATCTCTCTACTTGGGTCTTGCCAAGAGGTGTTCATCTTTCCGGTTCCTTAAATTAATATGATCTGAAAACATATTCATATAACTTATATATTGCACAAATGCTCTATGATCTTCCAATCTTGTTGGTATCATCAAGGTTACAGAGATTTTGTTCTAACTAATCATCAAAAACAGTAGCCATTATACAAGTAAAATATTTAAAATTCATTGCTAGTGGGTTTCAAACCCTCTATCTAGCCAATATATTGTTGAGAGGTATGATAACTTAACCACTTCACTAAGTCACTACACTTTAATAATGTATATATCTTTTATATATAGAGATATTAATATTTAGAGTAAAAATTTGTATATATATTTCTGATATATAATTTTGTTATATAAATAATATTGTCCAGAATTTTTATAAAGTTGGTATACAAAGTCTAATAATACTAGCAAAATTTTTGTAATGCAAATCAATAATCATGTATTACTGCATTAATTAATATATATATACTAGAGTTACTAGTAAAACTAAACTATAATATGATGTATGTAGTCTAGAACCAACATCATGTAACCAAAGATAGTCAAATTTTAAAAAATTTTTATTATAAAAATTTTTGTACTATATAAAAATTAGCCAATCAAATTTTAGCAAAATATAAATTTTTTAAAAAATCTATATTAGTAGCCAAAAATTTAAAATATATAAATATATTTTAGCTAATAATTCCAATTCTACTAAAGCAAAAAAAAAATCTTTTTGTAATAATATAATATAAACTCTAAATAATTAATTTATAGAAAAAAAATTTTATTATAATATTAATATTATTAGTTATAATTTTTTTTAGTTTATATAGTTATAAAAGGTTATGTAATATTAGTTTTAGACTATATGCACCATAGTATATTAATTTTCACTAATCACTAATCACCAATTAGTATTAGTAAAACTGGTGATATTGGTAATACTAGTAAAACTAGTAAAATTGGTGAAATTGGTGATACTAGTAAAATTTATAATACTAGTGAATTGATAAAATTAGTAAAACTTGTAATATTTGTGATACTAATAAAACTGGTGAAACTGATAATATTAGTGAAACTAATGATACTAATAAAACTAATGATATTAGCAAAACTGATAATACTAGCAAATCTAGTAATATTGGTAAAACTGGTAATACTAATAAAATTAATAATATAGATAAAAAATTTTTTTTTATTTATTAGCAGCCTTACTAATATCTTTATTAGATCAATATATATACTGTATATATATATTAAATTATCTAAACTATAAATCTGATATCTTTTAGCTACTTCTAAAGTTATCCAAAAATGATCTGTCACACTAGTTAAGGTATTTGTTTACACTGAAAGCTATATCAAGCTAACCAGCAAAACTATATCAAAATAGTTTTATTTTATTTGTAATAAAATTTTTAACTAACTCAAACTAAGCAATCTTTTTTCTCTTCTTTTCCTCTTCTTTACTTTTCTTTATTTTTTTTTTTTCTTAACTTTACTCTTGGTTTAGTCTTGGTTTTTGGAAACCTCTCCTGTAATTATATACATCTGCTTTGTATTAGTACTTAAGTTTTTAACTTTGCTTATTTTTTTTTTTGTTTAACGTTTATATTTTCTTTTCTTTCTTATTTGTTAATAACTATATATTTTTGTTTCAATATATTTTTATAAAAGTAATTTTATGCCAGGTTTATTGTAGTTTCCAAGTAATTCTTTACTTCTTTAAGAAATTTTATAATGTTGAAAATCTTTCTAAAAACCTCTTCCTGAATTAGATCTTTAAAAATACTAACTTTGTTCTGTTTTTCTCTCTTCTTGATAATTCTTAAAATAAGATCTTGAGTTGAACTTTATTGAGCTAATTTCTTGCTTTTTTTGAGAAGACTGCCTAGAGATATAAGTAAAATTGATATATTGATATTGGTAATACTATATAATTATTGTCACAGATTATAATGAAATTAGATTAAAATGAAATAAAAAGTATTCCAGTATTACCAGTTTTACCAGTTTTACCAGTATCACCAGTTTCATCAGCCTCACTAGTATCATCAGTTTTACTGTATTACCAGTTTCACCAGTTTTACCCATATCACCAGTTTCACCAGTATCACCAGTTTTACCAGTATCACCAGTTTCACCAGTATCAACTAGTTTCACCAGTTTCACCAAATCACTTTTTCAATTTCACCAGTTTCACCAGTTTCAACTGGTGAAATTAATTAGT